TAATGAAGAAAGCAAAAAGTCATTGAGCTGAAACCGAGCTACTGTGGGTAACCCTGCTGGTAATTGTAACACCAATGGCATACATTCCAGCATCACAGCCCACAAAAGCTGCCACAATATAACAAATGGACAGATGTGATTTAATTTCATAGATTTAAATTTGCTAATTTTTACTCTTATTTATACTCTAATTTCTTCTTAGAGTACAAATTTAACAAAGTCAAGAAAGCCAAAGTCACATTCTTCAACTAACTTAGATTGCAGATACAAGTTTGGAGACCAAAGGTGTAAGATTTATGCACCTTCTGGGAAATTGTGGAGTCCTGGTGTGGTGCTGTAGGATCAGTCCCAGACTGCAAACTGCAAAAGTCGGTGGTTTAAACCCACCACCAGCTGCTCCTCAGAAACCCTGTACAGGGTCACTATAAGTCAGAAATGACTCAACAGCACTTAACAACAACAACAACAAGGAAATTATAGCCACACCATTTATACATATTAATTGTTACAGCTGTGTTTCATCGATCACTTCCTTTAGAAGTCTTCTAGATCATGACTTTGGGCAATTTGACATGCTTTGATATTTAATGACCTTTGGGAGCTCTGGTATGGCAATACAGGCTAATGTCCTGGACTGCAAAGTCACTTTAAACCTCAAGGTCAGTGATTCAAGCTCACCAGCCGCTCCTCGGAAACCCTATACACGTAACAACAACAATCATGCGGCTATCAGTATCAAAATGATGTTGTTCTAAAATGTTATATTTTTAATGTGCATCTAGTGTAAGTACATCTTCCAGCTCTTGTTCTAAGTAAAATCTGGTCTAGTGCCATTAAATCTAAAAAAAAAAAGAAGGAAAAGGTCAAAATGGATATCAGAGACACTGAAACTTGCTCTCCAGGGTAGAGATGCTAAAACAAATGGAAGAATTGAGGAGGTACAAGAGCAGAACAGAAAATTTCAAAGATCAGCTCAAAAAGATAAAGCCAAATATTACAACAAAATGTGCAAAGATCTGGAATCAGAAAACCAAAAAGGAAGAACACGGTCAGCATTTCTCAAGCTGGGGGAACTGAAGAAAAAATTCAATCCTCAACTTTTGTTATTAAAAGATTCTCTGGGCAAATTATTGAATGATGCAGAAAGCATCAAGAGAAAATGGAAGGAATACACAGAGTCACTGTATCAAAAGGAAATGGTTAATGTTCAACCATTTCAAGAGGTAGCATATGATTAAGAGGCAATGATACTGAAGGAGGAAGTTCACGGTACATTGAAAGAATTGGCAAAGAACAAGGCACCAGGAATTGATGGACTAAAAACTGAAATCTTTCAAGAAAGTGAGGTGGCAAAGGAAGCACTCACTCATCTCTGCCAAGAAATTTGGAAGACAACTATCTGGCTGACTGATTGGAAGAGATCCATATTTATGCCCATTCCAAAGAGAGGTGACCCAACAGAATGAGGAAATCATCAGACAATCTCTTTGATATCCCATGCGAGTAAAGTTTTGGTAAAGGTAATAGAGAAATGGCTACAATCAGACATTGACAGAGAACTTCCAGAGGTTCAAGCCGGATTCAGAAGAGGCCATGGAACGAGGGATATCATTGCTGATGTCTGATGGATCTTGGCTGAAAGCAGAGAATATCAGAATGATGTTTACCCTTGCTTTATTGACTTTGCAAAGGCTTTCGATTGTGTAGATCATGACAAGCTATGGACAACATTGCAAAGTATGAGTATTCCGGAACACTTAATTGTGCTCATAAGGAATCTGTACCTGGACCAAGAAGCAGTTGTTCTAACAGAGCATGGGAACACTGAATGGTTTAAAATTTTTAAAAGGTGTGTGACAAGGTTGTATTCTTTCACTGTACTAATTCAACCTGTATGCTGAGCAAAAAATCTGAGAAGCTGGCTTATATGAAGAAAAACGTGGTATCAGGATTGGAGGAAGATTCATTAACAACCTGCGATATGCAGTTGATACAACCTTGCTTGCTGAAAGTGAAGAGGACTTAAAACATTTACTGAGGAAGATCAAAGAACACAGCCTTCAGTATGGATTACATCTCAATGTAAAGAAAACAAAATCCTTACCACTGGACCAATAAACAACATTCTTATTAATGGAGAAAAGATTGAAGTTGTCAAGGACTTCATTCTTCTTGGATCAATTATCAACACAGCAGCAGTCAAGAAATCAAAGGATGTATTGCATTAGGCAAATGTGCTGCACAAGACCTTTTTAAAGTGTTGAAGAGCAAAGATGTCAGCTTGAGGACTAAGGTGCACCTGACGTATTTTCAATAACCTCATATGCATGCGAAAGCTGGGCAGTGAATAAGGAAGACCGTAGAAGAATTGATGCTTTTGAGTTATGGTGTTGGAGGAGCATATTGAAAGTGCCATGGGCTTCCAAAAGAACCAATAGATGCATTTTCGAAGAAGTGCAGCCAGAGTGCTCCTTGGAAGCTAAGATGGCCAAACTTCATCTCTCATACTTCGGACATATTGTCAGGAGGGACCAGTCACTGGAGAAGAATATCATGTTTGGTAAGGTGGAGGGTCAGAGAAAAAGAGGAAGACCCCCAAGAAGATGGACTGGCCAAGTGGCAGCATCGATGGACTCAAGTACGGCAACAGTAGTGAGGTTGGCTCAGGATGGGGCAATGTTTTGTTCTGCTGTGTATAAGGTCGCTATTGGTCAGTACTGTCTAGATGGTACCTAACAACAACAAAAGCTGTTGAACAAATCTCTGACCTTATGAAGATCCACTTAGTTGGTAAAATATGATGCTTTGGAATGGACAGCCCAGTTTTTTAACGGAGAACGTTCGGCATATAGGAGGTTTTTAAGGCTCTGGATACAGGCATCTGGGTTTAGCCCTCAATCGCACTGAATCCAATATACCTGCTGAATCTGTCTTGATTACATTTCCTTCCAGGGACCATGCATTGAATGGCCATTCAAATATGCCATTATATTTTTTGGAAAAGCATTTGGCATTCTTAATTACCTTGCTGTGGCTGGAGGAATTTTCTGTTTTCTTCCTGTGCCCTCCATTCTTTTAAATGAGTGTTTGTGGTGTTACAAGCAGATTCAAGTTCACTGCCCAGCTTTTCTCTTCTTTGTTTACTGCTGACTCATTTCCCCCAGATATTTGTTCATTATGCTGTGGTAGTCTGTCCCTTAATCTCTCATGCCAAGTGTCAGTAAGGCATTTTTGAAGTGTTGGTAGTGTTTTCCTAGGGTTTTTATCCAGATGCCCTTGTTTGTTATTTTGGCAAAACAGTCTTCACACTCTCTCTTCATAGATTTTGCGTATTTTTTCTATACCTGCCTTTCAAGTGAAACCAGGTTAGTAAATGGTAGAAAATGAAATCCACATGATTAGTGATAAGGAATATGTTTTGTGAAAAAGATCACCGAGTCATAGAGTATGTTTGGAATGGGATTATGCAGATGCTTCTATTATCACATCTTCAAATGGTACAGGTACTATTGATTCTGATACAAGGCAAAGAAATTCTGATGCATTAGCTTTTTTTCTGATTTAAGTGAGCACAGACACACTAAAACATAAGCGAAAACAGTGAAATTAGGTCTTCAAAAGGGCCTGCCTTATAATCACCTATGTAGCCCAACAGAGATGCTGAGTAAATCTGACTTGACCTCACAGTTTATAATTTACTCATGCACGGTTGCAACACCAATGGTTGTCATGCTCTTTCATTTCAGGAAACGTGTGATCTGGGTAAGATAAAGCCTGAAGCCAGAAGATACTTGGAAAAGTCTATTAAGATGGGTAAAAGGAATGGGCTTCATCTTCCAGAACAAGTGCAGAATGTAAGTTTGTCTTTTCTTTTCCTATTGGGAAAAATTTAAATAAATTAAACAAAAACTAGGAAATAGACAAATAGGTGCATTATAATAAAATAGTCCATAATACATATAAGCCCATTTACATTGTATTTGGTATTTGGTAACTTTATACTCTACAATGTCTGTTCACCTCATTGACAATTGGTTCTTAATTGTTTTTAATCCTGTAGAAGTTTTATTTATTATTATTATTATTTGTGTGTGTGAGAGAGAAAGAGAGAGAGAGTTTCCTGCTCACTTTTACATTCTTTAAGAGCTAATTCTAGGTTGGTTTGTATTCTTACTCCTCTGGTCTTGCAGAGGTAACACACTGATGATGAAATCCTTGTTGATGGAGTATTTTAAAATCAGCACTTTGGGATGGGACACCATACACTCTATGCCCCTTAAAGAAAGAGAGACAAGCTCTTGAAAAGTGCTTTTCTAATTTTTCCCATTGTATTATCCAGTCATGTCTTTCAATTTTATAAGTAAATTCAGCGGCAGTACTGACCTCCCTTTTCTCGGCCAGGAAATATAATCAATGATTTATTTCTAGGTCAGTCTTCTAGTCAACAGAACGAGAAATAAATTTGAAAGAAATTCAGGCCACGTGATGTCATCATGGTAGTTACAAATGAAGGCACTGCTGGGATGTGGGTGTCTTTCTCACACCTAAAGGCTCTTCTTTCCCCTTCTGCCCTATTCATTCTAGTTAGAGGAGGAACGTTGACTCATCTCACTTAGCTGATCCTTTCCTGTCCTTGTCAACCAATCCTCAGCTCTCTTTGGGGAATGAACACTGTATTAATTAAGGTGTGTTTGGTTACAGCTAACAAAGCCCAGTTTAAATTAGTTTAAGCATAGAACAGAGGCCAGAGGTAGGTAGGCTTTGTGGTTAATTTGTCTAAACTCTTAGTGTCACTGTAAACCTCATTTGTCTGTTTCTGTCTTCTTCAGTCTCAGTGTTATCCAGAGGCTAACTTCCATTCGTTGCTAGAATAACTACAGACCTAAAAGACCCCACCACCCAGAAGAACATAGAGAAACCCTCATCACATCTCCCCTTCATGTCTTAATGGCCCACATTAGATTATGCACCCAATCCTAGATTCTATATTCAGATGCATGCCATGCCTGGGTTATCTGAGCCAGTCACTAAGTCAAGGGGAAAGGGATGCTAAGTAGAGGACACATGGGATCAGGTCCTACCCAAATGACAAGCTGCTTTACAGTGTGGGGAGAGGCAGAAGGAGTTAGAGGGATAACTAGAGTGAAAACCACACTGAACAGTATGTATGGTAACTTGGTGGTTTCAAACTTCAGCATGCATCAGAATTACCTTGTTGTTGTTTTGTGCTGTGGAGTCGGCTCCGACTCATAGCGACCCTGTACAGGGTTTCCGAGGCTGTAAATCTTTATGGGAACAGAAAGACTCATCTTTCTCCAGCGGAACAGCTGGTAGTTTCGAACTGATGACCCTGAGGTTAGCAGCCCGATTTGTAACCACTACGCTACTGGAGCTCCTTAGAATTACCTTCGGGTTTTTTCATATTCTCATAGTTGTAAGCCCCACCTTTTAGAGTTTGCTTCAGTAAGCTTAGTGTTGGGACTCAGGAATATGAGTTTCGAATTTCCTAGGTGATGCTGATACTTCTAATCAGGTCCACACTTGAGAACTAATGGTTTATATAAACTTCATCATCTATCATTGTTAGAAGAACAGTGGAGAAAAGGTTAATACTGTTTTTCTCTTGTGGTTTCTTTCTAACTGCTTCCTTTGATCTCTCATCTAAAACTTTTTATATGAAGGTTAGGACACACAAATTGCTTTTGTTTACAAAAGCTTTGTAAACCCTAGACTTAACCTCTTTTCATAGCAACCATAAAATTAATTACTTGGTTTCGTATCTCTTGGTTTACTTCAGCACCAAACACTGATTACTAACTTGTTGTTATTAAAGTTGTTGTTATTGTTAAGTTCCATTGAGTCTGTTCTGACTCATAGCAACCATGTATTGGGTTTCCAAGGAGTGACTGGTGCGTTTGAACCACCAACCTTTCGGTTATCAGGCCTATGATTAATCTTACAGTGCCACTAACTTTGAATTTTTAATTTAAAAATAACGATTTGTTATCAGCACTGGACTGCTAACCAGAAAATCAGCAGTTCTAACCCACCAGTAACTCTGCAGGAGAAAGATGAGGCTTTCTGTTCCTGTAGATATACAGCCATGAAAATTAGACATGGTGGCTATGAGTCGGAATCAATGCAATGGCGGTGGTTTTTATTTTTGTTTTGGTCACTCAGCAATTATTTATTGTTTATCTACTGTATTTATTATACCTCCTCAATTTAGTTCTTTCAAACTTTCAGCCATCATCAGTATTGTCTTTCCATGAGTGTTAATATACAATTACACATGGACATGATAGAGAAGACTGCAGAAAACTATTTTATCCAGCACATTTCTAAGAAAGTACTTCCAAAGGGTTGGGTTCAGAAGCCAATTTTCATATAAGAAAGAAATTTACTTGATTTGTGGCAATAAAAATCAGTCTTGTTTTGCCATTAGATGTCCTGTGTTTTGTTTTTTTTTAATCTAAATTTTATCTTTATTTCAGGAAATCAAAGCAATGAAGAAAAAAATGAGTGAGCTGTGTATTGACTTTAACAAAAACCTCAATGAGGATGATACCTTCCTTGTATTTTCCAAGGCTGAACTTGGTAAAAGTTTGTTACTTCTACATGAAATGATGTAATTTAGGCAAATAAGGTCCCCTCAGTTTGCCTCGATTTCCAAATACCAAACCCATATCATAGAATCCTTTAAAAAGTAATCATTCAATACCTAACCCCACCATTCTGTCTACCAAAAAGACAACCATGCCAGTCCTAGATTTTAGACTAATAAGAGCATAGACTGTTTCAAAACATAGAGGAGATTTCCTTATCTTTACAGTTAACTTGGAGTCCTGGTGTGGTGCTGTAGGATAAGCACTGGACTGCTAACTGCAAGGTCGGCAGTTCAAGCCCACCAGCCACTCCTCAGAGATCCTATACAGGACCACTTAACTGTTCACCTCTGTTGATGTTTAACAGCCCTCAGTACTTTAAATTGTTTTCTGCCTTACATATTTTAACTTTAAGCTAGTCTCTTCTATTTTGTTCTGGGTATTTCTTGGCTTACGTTTGTCTGTTCTCCATCAAAACACTATCTGTTCATGTACATGTATCTGTACATGTATACTGAAGTCTATTCATATTTTGAATTACCATCACCTAAGCCACCTGGACTCTCACCACCACCCTATTACCACCCAATAACACCAAAAAGAAAAGATAAGGATTGTCATTATTTTACTTGAATTTACAGTTACTCCACAAAATTTCCTAGAGCTACTTCAAGGCATCTTGCCAATGCTAAATAATCCATTAATGAGTAGAAAACATTGATGTGTTTTCCAAACGATTTTTTGCAGGTGCTCTTCCTGATGATTTCATTGATAGTTTAGAAAAGACAGATGATGGCAACTATAAAATTACCTTAAAGTATCCACATTATTTTCCTGTCATGAAGAAATGTTGTGTCTCTGAAACCAGAAGGAAAATGGAAATGGCTTTTAATACAAGGTGCAAGGAGGTACTATAAATGCTTATCTTCTGTTTTTGTGAAGGATTTTGAGAGAAAGATTTGCTTTGTTTACCTATGTTGAAGTCCATTCAGAGACTGATATTCCTATTTGTGTTTGCATCATTGGTGTTATTAAGTGCCTTCGGGTCTATTCCGACCCATAGCGACCCTGTATAGAGTTTCTGAGGGGCAGCTGGTGTGTTTGAATCACCAACCTTCCGGTTCAAACCAATTCCTCTAACCTACAGGACTTTTAGCCTTTTCCTTGACCCTGGGCATGGGCTTACGTAGCTCTGAAAAAAAAAAAAAAAGAATGGGTTAAATAAACTAGAAGGGTTTTTTTTTCCTATCCTAAGTCAACAATTCAGGACATAGGGAAGTAGAGAGAGGTGAAGGGCACATTCCCTTTCTCAACAGGTGACTTTCAAGGTCAATCCTGTTGTCACCATTTCCTAGCCTGTTTGGAAGAAGGGAAGAGGACACAGAACAAACACCTGTAAGGGAAGACCCGGAAATGACATACATGAAACTCCATTTACATTGTCCCCTAATCAATCATACAGCCATATCCAGCTGTGAGGGAGACTGAAAAGTATAGTGTTTAGTTGAAAGACATTTGTTCAGCTACAAAATAGAAGAAAAGAAGAATTAGAAATGGATTCTCAGAGTCAGCCAGCTCCACTACAGTCTGCTTTCCTGGTTGTCCAAGGACCCACGAGTCCCCTTTTTTCCACACACAGGATCCAGTCAGCTTCCAGCTGGTAACTACCTCAGGCTCAAAAACTAGGGTCTCTGGGTAATACAAAACCCTCTCAATTGTGGCTTCTCATGATTTAGCCACCTGTGAAACAAAAGACACATTATATGGCCCTCTCATCCCAGTATACACACCCATCGGTCTAATGAGAGTAAAATAACCACACTAAAAACTTCTCTGGAAAAGGAAAGAATGGGAAACATAGCAGGCCCATTGCAATTTTCAAAAACTGTTTCACAGAAATTGTGAGGATTCCATGTTTTGGTGAAATTCCCTGATTAGCCCATTGGGTTGCCTTTCTCACAGGAATTCTTAAGCACGTGTCCTTCCATGACCCCTGATTTTGCCTGCAGGGAGTTCCTTCTTATCCATTAGCCTCTAGCTCTCTGGTAGCTGTCACTATAGATTCCTGCTGATACCAGTTTGGCTTCTCAGAGTGGCTTTAAAAAACAAATTTGCCAGTTCCCTCTCATGGAGATGCTGTGTGTGTCAGAGTAGACCTGTGCTCCATAGAGTTTTCAATGGCTGATGTTTTGGAAGTAGCTTGACAAATCTTTATTTTGAGGTGCTTCTGGGTGGACCCGGACCTCCAACCTTTCATTTATGTAGCTAAGTATATGTAACTGTTAGCGTTATGCATTAGCTCTAGAAGGTAACATGAGGCCACAGAAAACCTGTTGCAGGATATTGATTTCCAACCCTTGGTTTGGAAAAAAATATAGTCAGTCTTTTTATTATTATCATTATTTAAGAGATATTTATCCAGTTCCACTCCTGTTTTTGTTGTTCGGTGCCATCAAGTCCGTACCAACTCATAGTGACACTATGAACAGCAGAATGAAACACTGCCCAGTGGTAGGCCAACCTCAGTCACTGCTGCGTTTGAGCCCATTGATGCTGGCACTGTGCCAATCCATCTCGTTGGAGGTCTTCCTCTTTTTCTCCAACCTTCCAGTTTACCAAACATGATATCCTTCTCCAGGGTTTGCCCCTCCTGACAATATGTCCCAAGTATGAGAGATAAAGTCTGGCCATCCTGGCCTCCAAGGAGCACTCTGGCTGCACTTCTTCCAACACAGATCTATTTGTTCTTTTGGCAGTCCATGGCACTTTCAATATTCTCCTCCAGCACTAACTCAAAAGCATCAATTCTTCTACGATCTGCCTTATTCATTGTCCAACTTTCACATGCACATGAGGTTATTGAAAATACCATGGCTTGTGCCAGGCACACCTTAGTCCTCAAGCTGACATCTTTGCTCTTCAACACTTTAAAAAGGTCTTGTGCAGCAGATTTGTCCAATGCAATACGTCTTTTGATTTCTTGACTGTTGCTTCTATGCGTGTTGATGGTTGATCCAAGCAAAATGACGTCTTTGACAACTTCAATAGTTTCTCCATTTATATGGATGTTGTTTATTAAAAAGACTAGAAAACAGAAACTCAAAGACACTTGTTCTCCAGTGCTCATTGCTGCACTAGTTGTAGTAGCCAACAACAGGTGGGAGCTAACTAAGTGCTCTCCAACAGATAAACTGAGGTACATATATACTGTGAAATAAAAGCCAGTAGAAGAAATGAAGTCTTAATACAGTACAGGGAACTTGAAAATATCATGCTGAACAGAATAAGTCAGTTACAAAAAGACAAATATTGTATGATCTCACTTATAAAAAGACAAGAAAAGGCGAATGTATAGAGATCAAAATGTTTTAGTAGTAATGACCAGGAGTGAGAGAGAATGGGGAAAAGAATTTAATAGTGATGAAAAAAATACATTAATTAAGGATAGGGCTGCCAGTCAATTATTGTAATTACACACTTGAAAAAAGTGAAATATGCAAAAAATTGTGTGATTATAATTACAATGAACCAAAACAATAAAAAGAGTAGCTACTAAGGCTGCTTATGCACAACCAGATACTTCATGGAATTTGGTTCCCTGATTTGAAGGTTTACAATCAGGGTCTCATGGGACATCTCAGTTAATTGGCCTAATAATGTGTTTAATAAGTCTTGGTGGTAGTGTAGGATAAACATTGGCCCCACCAGCTGCTCCATGCAAGAAATATGAGTCTGTCTGCTCTTGCAAAGATTTATAGTCTCGGAAATGCTATACCAGGTCATTATGAGTCTAAATCAACTGGAAGGCAGTGAATAATAAATAACTTGTTTAGTGCATCTGTTCTACCTCCTAGTTCATTGTATAGTGCCTATAGGCTTAAAATCTTACAAGCTACCAAGGTACAACAAAGTCTCTGACTACCAGGAGCAACAGAGGGGAGGAGAGTCAGGAATAGGAGGAGGATGTAGAATGTGTGGCTAGTTGTCTCCATGAACAACTGCCTCCTTTGCCACGAGACCAGAAGACCTGGATGATGCTTGACTACCATTACTGAACATTTTGATCAAAAACTCCTGATGAAAAGGAGAAAAATGCAGACAAAGATTTCTAATTCTCATAGACTCTGGAGTTTCTGGAGCCATGGAAACTGAATGAACCTCTGAAACCTGAGATAATCTTTTAAATCTTGTACTGAGAATATCTTCGGATATTGTTTTAAAACTGAGCAATAATTTAGCTTAATTAGTTTTTTTAAAAAAAAAAAAGTGGGGGTGGGAGGAAAAGAAAGCTGTAAGAAGGGAATGAAGTTTTTCTTTGTTAGAGGTAAATTGCTTTTCAATAGTGTTCTCAACCCCATTCCCCTCCCCTCCTTAATTTCTTTAAAAGTACATAACATTAATATGGAATAATGTAATATGAGTTGAGATGATCTGAAAATATCTGACAGTTCTTACCAACCTTAAATTACATGTAAAAAGAATTTTTTTTTGTTCTCAATCCTCTGTACCAGTCAGTTACTAACTTTTGTTGTTGTTGATCCCCAGGAAAATACCATAATTCTGCAACATCTACTTCCGCTGAGGGCCAAAGTAGCCAAACTACTTGGCTACAACACGCATGCAGACTTTGTGCTTGAAATGAACACTGCAAAGAGCACAAGCCGTGTGACAGCTTTTTTAGGTGAGGTTTGTTTTGTTTTTTTCTTTAGTCCATTGTATGTTTTTCATTTCTCATAAAACTCTTCTACTGTATCATAGCAGTTGACCCAAGGAACTCAGAATCTAGCATGCCCATTAGAATAGGTTTCTAACAGAATCTGATTTTTTCATTCAAAATAAATTTATTGATTGCTTAGAATATACTAAAGACTGTGCTTGGTTCTAGAAGATGGTTCATTGTTTATATATTACTATTATAGACACTGCCCATTGAGTTTGTTCTGACATCAGGTGTTTTGCAGTGATGGTATGGCTTATGATATTATGTCAAATAAACTGACAAGTGGATGTGAGTGAAAATTGTTACTGTGTAGTACCATTGAGTCAGTTCTGACTCCTAGCGACCCTGTATAGGGTTTCCAAGGTGGGGCTGGTAAGTTTGAACCACCAACCTTACAGTTCAAACTGACCACATAGTCAAGTGCTTATCCTGCAGTGCCACACCAGGACTCTATGAATGGAACTAGAACACAAATGGTGGTGGTGGTTACGTGCTGTGGAATTGGTTCAGACTCACAGCAACACTGTACAGTGTTTCCGAAGCTGTTAAGTCTTTACGGGAGCAGAAAGCCTCATCTTTCTCCTGAGCAACAGCTGGTAGTTTCGAACTGCTGATTTTGAGGTTAGCAGCCCAACCTGTAAGCACTACACTAGCAGAATTTCTTAGAACATATGTAAACAAAAAATTAAATGTTTTCTATTCCAGACACCACTGGATATTACATAAAAGTAATATTAAATGATATGCACCAAAATTATCATCATTCACTTAAAATAATTTTGATTTTTAAAACCTGGATCTAATGTCTGTGGCATTTAGTTACTGATGCTCTGTTCGCTATACCCAGCCTCTTCTCAAGCCAGGTATCATAATTCTAACAGTTTAGTGGAAATGGTTGAATAACTTAGCCATAGTAAAGATAGCTAACTGTTTTTAATCAGCTCTAATCAAAGTTGCCCAAATTGTGATATTTTGTATATTTTCTTCATTGACTTCTCTCAGACTCTATTCATCTTCAGTAACTAGGTAAATTATGTCATTTATTACCTTGATATTCATTTAGCCTTAATATTCTTTTATTAGGTTATGTTAGATATAATTAATAATATGTTCAAATAAACCTTCAGCCCAAAATAGTGAACACAGTTTCTTTAATGGCCATACATCAATTCATTAATATAACAAGGAAACTTTAAAAAAGATACAAAAAAACATAGTTAAAAGGTTTGGAATTTTCCACAAATTTTTTTGAAGACTCCTTGTGTTGTTGTTGTTGTTAAGTACGGTGGAGTCGGTTCCAACTCATAGTGACCCTGCACAGGGCTTCCAAGGCATTAATATATAGAGACTTTTACATATAGCAGGTATATCATAAATGTTAGCTTTATTTATTATTGCATAATTCATGATACATTTATAGAATAACTACCTTGTTTAGAGTCCTGGTGTGGTGCTGGACTACTTTTTGTTAGATTGGAGGTTCAAGCCCACTAGCCACCCCTCAGAAACCTACTTGACAGCACTCAATAGCAACATTGTACAGTATGCTAAAGGTAGGACTGCAGAAAGGAGGAAGAGAAGCCTCCTTTCTCAGTGAATTTTGCCTCGAGTGGGAACAACAGAGAGGTGAGCAGATAACTGTCATAGTCTGATGCATTTTATAAAGAAGCACGGCACAGGGTGTTTACAAGTTTGGTGCGACTGTTTCCGTTGGTGTAACTGCATATACTGACGTGTTTCCTTAGTAACTTCCTGATTGGCTTAATTTCTTTAAACTAGTTTCCCCTGTATCTTAAAATTGGCATCTTCCTGTCAGAGTTGCCCTCTTCCTGCCTGTATTCCCACATTCTCTCACAGACCCAGTCAGAATTGTTTCTCTTTGTATCCTCCTGAGCTTCCTCCTTTCTCTTCACAGCATGCCTCAAGCTGTTACCTCCATCTCACACTTTGCGGTTGCCTCCTAAGCAGCCATGTCACTACATAACCTAGCCCATTTTTATTTTATGTATCTAACAAGTTATAAAGAATACGAGTAAGAGCCTACTCATGTAAGCGAATACTGTGAAGTAGTCACAAAATTGGCCACAGTATGTAAATTGTGGTATCATCATTTTTTCCATCTGAAAAATGGAACTGCTGTATCCAAATATATCTTGATAGAAATGGGGGAGTGATAAACCCATGACTGTCAAATGTGTTGAGCCATTTTTACATAATACCACAGGATACATCTCCTTTTTCTCCCCTGGCTTTTTGAGAAGTCTTACTTCATTGAGGAATATTCGTGTATATGAGTTTAATTTCCCTAAACCACAACATTCTTGAGTGTCAGTTCTCTGTGATAAACTTCTGCTTTGCCGATGATATGAGGAAGTCATGACCTGCTTTTGGTGGTGCAAAACAAAACAAAAAAAGAGTGGAGGAACCATAAAATAACTCACCCTGAAGAGAAAAGCAATGCTGCTTCTCAAATAGAGCCTCAATCCAGCCATCCTTTTTTCCCTATATCCTTCTTTCCATCCTTCCTGCCTGCCTTGCCTCCTTCCTATTCATCTTTATTAAGTACTACAAAGGAGGGGGCACCATGGTAAAATACTACTTGCTCCCAAGGACAGTGAATCACTAACTTTTCCTACTCCCCTCACAGATGACCTAAGCCAGAAATTAAAACCCTTGGGTGAGGCAGAACGAGAGTTTATTTTGAGCTTGAAGAAAAAGGAATGTGAAGAGAGAGGTTTTGAATACGATGGGAAAATCAATGCCTGGGATCTGCACTACTACATGACTCAGACAGAGGAACTCAAGTATTCGCTAGACCAAGAAATCCTCAAGGAATACTTTCCAATTGATGTGGTCACAGAAGGCTTGCTGAACATCTACCAGGAGTTGTTGGGACTGTCATTTGAGCAAGTGGCAGATGCTCATGTTTGGAATAAAAACGTTATGCTTTACACTGTGAAGGATAAAGCTACAGGAGAAGTGTTGGGACAGTTCTACTTGGACCTCTATCCCAGGTACTGAGGATCACATTGTTGGAAAAGGGACCTTAGGGACTCAACTACTCCCAGCTTAAGACTTCTTTTCTTTAGTTTAAAATTCAGGTTTTAAATTTCAGGGCCTAAAGCCAGTATGTCTGGCTTCAACACTTACTGGGTAAGTTGCTTAATTTTGATGTACCTTAGTTTCTTCATCTGTTTTTTATTGTTGTTGTTGTCGCTGTTAAGTGCCATTGAGTCAGTTCTGACACATAGTGACCCCATATAGGGTTTCCGAGGCTGGAAATCTTTAGGGGAACAGAAAGCCTCATCTTCCGTGGAACAGCTGGTAGTTTCAAACTGCTGACCTTGAGTTTAGCAGCCCAACTTGAACACGTATAATACCTACTTCAACTATTTTAAGGATTACATTGGTTAATTCCATGCAATTTTAGAAGAATGTCTTAATTAGTTAGCTACTATCATCAGTGCACTCAGCTGCTAACCAAAGTGTTGCAGGTTTAGGTCCACCGAGAGGTACCTTGGATGAAAAGTCTAGCTATCTACTTCTAAAAAATCAGCCATTGAAAATTCTGTGGAGCACAATTCTATTCTGACATGCATAAGATAGCCAGCCATCTCAGTATTTACTGGCCACTAGAGCAGTAGCAGCAACACCTAATTTGTGCCCTGCACTTATTTAACATTGATCCAAAAAAAAGTGTATTATGAAGTCAGTAATTTAAATCTATTGCCACTCCCCTTAGTCTTGCTAAGAGGCAACACATAAAGTAGGACTGAATTTTTGGTGAAGATTTTATTGTCTCTCCACTATTGGTATGCGGCTGTAGGGTGAACACTGGATTGCTGACTGCCAGGTCAGTGTTTCATACCCATCAGCCACTCCTCAGAAACCCCATACAGGGTCACTGTGAGTCGGAACAGACTCAGCATGACTTAATAACAGTGGTGTTGGTGGTTTTATGCTGTGGAGTTAATTCTGACTTATAGCCACCCTGAATAGGGTTTCTGAGGCTGTAATTTTTTACAGGAGCAGAAAGCCTCATCTGTCTTCTGCAGAACAGCTGACAGTTTCGAACTGCTGACCTTGAGGTTAGCAGCCTGACTTGTAACCACTATGCAACCGTAGCTCCTTCTTAACAACAATATTGACATGATATTTATACCCTTACATTTCTTTTCAATAGTTTCCCCAGGTCATCAGATGTTACCCTGCTTCCATTATAGCATATAAGGAACTTAAAACAGTATCTTTCCAATTTCTCTCATCATTTGTGTTGTTGGTCTATATTTTACTTTTACATATGCTATGAATACCCAAAAGAGCTCTGGTCAGCAATTCGAACCTCAAGGTCAGAAGTTCGAAACTACCAGCTGTTCCACGAGAGAAAGATGAGGCTTTCTGTTCCCATTAAGATTTACAGCCTCAGAAACCTTGTTCAGGGTCACTATGAGTCAGACCAACTCCACAGCACATAACCAACACCACCATAAATACCCAAGAGGTTTTTTATTTTAAAAATAGAAATTTATTTTTCTCACAGTTGTGGAGGTTCAAAGTCCGGTTCCAAGTTTCAGATGTATCAATTCCTTCCTTGTCGTTAGCCCCGGGCACTTTTGGTTCTTAGTGACCTTCACATTGTATTAATCGTCACCAGTATATGCTCTGGTCTCCTAATGAATTTTTAATGTTGCTTCTTTAAATGGTTAAACTCTTTAGGGAAATTAAAAATAAGAAATGATTTTTACATTTACCTTCATTTAATACGTTTTCAGCACTCTACATTTCTTTCCCACCATTCGTCTGTCAGTTTGTTATATTATGGAGGCTGTGAAACTGGAAGCTATGCCATCACTGTTTTAAATACCAGCAGGGTCATTCATAATGGACAGCTTTCACTGGAGATTCTGGACTAAGGTACAGTAGGGAGAAGAAAAGCTAATGTCTGAATGTTTAGCCACTGAAAATTTTATGAATAGCAGTGGAATATGGTGAGATATAGCACCAGAAGATGAAAGCATTATGAAAAACACCAAAATATTGTTAGATATAATGCCAAAAGATGAGCCCCTTAGATTGGAAGGCACTCAAAACATGACTAGGAAAGAGCTGCATCCTCAAAGTAGAGTTGATCATGATGATGCAAATGGATTAAAGCTGTCAGGACCTTCATTTGCTGAGAGGCCACAACTCAGAAAGGAGAGACAGCTGCAAACATCCATTAACAATCAGAACATGGAACATACAAAGTATGAATCTAGGAAAATTAGAAGTTGTCAAAAATGAAAAAGAATGCATAAAGATTGATATCCTAAGCATTAGTGAGCAGAAATGGATTGATATTTTCCATTTTGAATCTGACAATCAAATGGTTTACTGTGGTAGGAATGACAAATTAAAGAGGAATGGCATTGCATTCATCATCATAAAAGAACGTCTCAAGATCTGTCTTGAAGTACAATGCTTTCTTTGATGTTGTTGTTGTTAAGTGCCATTGAGTTGGTTCCAACCCATATCGACCCTGTATACGGTTTCCGAGGAACAGCTGGTAAGCTTGAACCACCAACCTTGCAGTTCAAATGAATTTTCAGCCTAGCACATTAACCCACAGTGCCACATAGAATAATATAAATATGTATACAAGGAAGACCAGTGAATACCACTATTATTCAAATTTATTCACCAACCACTAAAGCCACTAATGATGAAATTGAAGAATTCTGTCAACTTCTTCAATCTGAAAATTTTCAAATTGCATTGATCAAGATGCATTAATAATTACTGGCAATTTGAATTCAAAGGTTAGGAACAAAGATGAAGGATCAGTATTTGGAAAATATTGCCTTGATAATAGAAATTATGCTGGAGACCTCATGATAAAAATTTGCAAGTCCAATGATTTATTCATTACAAATACCTTTTTTAAACAACATAAAATGTGACCGTACACATAAAACTCTCCAATGGAATACAAAGAAATCAAATTGACTACAACTGTGGGAAGTGACAGTGAAAAAAGCTCATTATCATCAGCCAAAACAAGGTCAGGGGCAGACTATGGAACAGACCATCAATTGCCCCTATGAAAGTTCAGGCTGAAGTTGAAGAAAATTAACACAAGTTCAAGACAGCCAAATTCCATCTGAATTTGGAGAACATCTCAAGAACAGATTTGATGCATTAGACACAAATGACCAAAAACCAGAAGAGCTGTGGGATAGTATCAAGAACATCATACAAGTAGGAAGCAAAAGGTCATTTAAAAAGACTGGAAAGACCATTTGACCTAGCTTCAATGGCTTGATGACCAGAGCTTGACTAGAGGAAGATAAAGAAATTTGATAGAGGAAGCAAGTGTAACTTGCTACAATTTGATGAAATTGACATATGTTTAAGGATGTTGTAGCTCAAAATACCAACTGAGAGGGAAGGAGTCTTCACAAGCCTGTTTCCCCCTATACAGGGTTGATAAGGATGGGCAAATTAGATATTGGCTACCTAAAATGGGGGACTATAAAGGCATGAAATGGCTTACAAGTTTTCAAGAGGGAGTTTAGTTTCATAGTGTGCGGAGGAAGGTAGAATCCCCACTGAATAGTTTTCATCTTGTCTAGATGGGTCTGGTGGAAGGAGATGGGGGATAGGATTCTTTTGATACTACTGAGTGAATAATTGTTATCATGACTAATTGCAGCTGTCACAATTGTAAAGGTAGAAGTTGTGTAACATAAAGAGGGGAGTAGTTAATCTTACATTCCAGGAACAGAGGCCCCTAGGAACATCAAGAGAGAAGAGCATGAGTGGCATGTGGGACCTTATCCAGAGAAGCAATGACACCAGAGATGGAGACAGAGATGAGGACATGGAGAGACAGAGTAACTGAAGATTCTAGACTCATGGAAAGAGAAAGGTTGTATGCTGGCAGCCAGGAGGCTGGCTTACAGAATGTACCCTTTGGTTGTTTTATGATTACATATTCCTGAGTGTTTTTGCGTACTTCCAAAAAAAACCCAGAAGCAAATTCTGTTAAATGATGATGCATGGAGGGGATTGTAATCATTGCAATGAAACAAAATATGATAGGATGAGTGCAAAGCTGATGTTCTCCCAAATAAACTCAATTCACAATAAAAGCTTTTAAAAATAAAGGACTAGAAAGAAAGAAAAGACCAAAACAGATGTTGGAAGAAACTCTGAAATTTGCTCTTCAGTGTAGAGATGCTATACCTAATGAAATAAATGAGGAAGTCAAAGAGCTGAACAGAAAATTTCAAAGCGCAGTTTGAGAAGACAAAATCGAATATTATAGTAAATAAATGTGCAAAGCCCTGAAGTTAGAAAACTAAATGGCAAAACACACTTAGCATTTTTCAAGCTGAAAGAACTGAAGAAAAATTCAAGCCTTGATTTGCAGTATTGAAAAATTCTATGGTTAAAATGTAGTCCTGGTGAGGTGCTGTAGCATAAGTATTGGGCTACTAACCACCAGCTAGGCAGTTCAAACAAGCCAGCCACTTCTCAGAAACCCAATACAGGGTCACTGTGAATCAAACCGACTTGCCCTCACTTAACAGCAACAACATGGGCAAAATATTGAATGATGCAGAAAGCATCAAAAGAAGATGGGAGGGTCTACACAGTCACTATACAAAAAGAGTTAGTTGTTGTTCAGCCATTTCAAGCGGTAGCATATGATCAAGAACTGATGATACTGAAAAAAGAAGCCCAAGCGGCACTGAAGGCATTGACAAAAAAAAACAAGCCTCCAGGAATTGACAGAATACAAATTTAACTCTATCAATAAACTGATGCAGCACCGAGGTGCTTACTCATCTGTGCCAAGTAATTTGGAAGAAGCTACCTGGCCAATTGGAGTTCTGGTGTGGTGCTGTTAATGCGCCAGACTGCAAAGTTGTTTGAACTGCAAGGTCGGCGGTTCAAGCTCACCAGCCGCTCCTCAGAAACCCTATACAGGGTCACTATGGGTCGGGATCGACTCGACGACACCTAACAAGAACAACAACCTGGCCAGTTGATTGGGAGAGATCCATATTTGTGCCCATTCCAAAGAGAGGAGACCCAAAGGAATGTGGAAACCAGTGCTATCACATGCAAATAAAATTTCACTGATGATAATTCAAAAACGGCTACAATAGTGCATCGACAGAGAACTGCCAGAAATTCAAGCCTGATTCAGAAGACGATGTGTACCTAGAGGCATCATTGCTAAGGGCAGGTGAACCTTAGCTGAAGGCAGAGAATACCAGAAAGATGTTTACCTGTGCTTTATTGATTATACAACGTCTTTCAGCTGTGTGGATCATGACACACTATGGATAACATAGTGAAGAAAGGGTATTCCAGAGTACTTAATTGTGTTCTTGAGGCGCCTGCACATAAACCAAGAGGCAGTTCTTAGCACAGAACAAGGGAGTGCTGAATGGTTTAAAATCAGAAAAGGTTTGTGTCATGGTTGTATTCTTTCACCATACTTATTCAGTGTGTATGCTGAGTGAATAATCCGAAACTGAATTATATGAACAATGTGGCATCAGGATGGGAGGAAGACTCGGTAACAACCTGAAAGTGAAGAGGACTTAAAATACTGATGAAGATCAAAGACTACAGCTTTCTGTATGGATTGGATCTCAACATAATGAAAACAGAAATTCCACAACTGGATCAATAAATAACATCATGATAAATGGAGAAAAGATTGAAGTTGTCAAAGGTTTCATTTCGCTTGGATCCACAATCAATACTCATGGAAGCAGCAATCAAGAAATCAAATAACATAATTACATGACAAATCTGATGAACAAGACCTCTTTTTTTTTTTTTTTTAACTTTTTATTGTAAATTGAATGAAGGTTTACAGACAAGATTGTCAGTTTTACATTCAACAAATCATCTCAATGATTGCACTCTCCTCCATGTTGTAACAACAGTATGTCACTTCCTCCCTTTGGATCCTATTTCCATTCCACCCACTTTCCCATCCTTTCTCAACTTTATTCTTAGGTAAATGTTGCCCTTTTGATTTGGAATGATTGACCATTCCATGGTGAGCATACCTTCTAGTGTTATTTCTCCCTCATATTTTTATTTACTACTTAGCTGAAAATTCGACCGCAGAGGTGAGTTCCTTTCCAGTCCTGAAAGCGGTTGAGGGCCATATTGGGTTCCTTCAGGTTTTTTCTAACCAATAAGCCATTTTTTGTTTGTTTTTTCAATTTTGAATTTTGTTCCACTTCTCTATTAAGGACCTTCTAATGTGATCCTTTTCAGAGCAGTTGGTAGTGACAGCCAGGCACCATGTAGTTCTGGCCTTACATCAGTCAAGACTGATGGTCATATGTTCCATTAATCCATCAGACTAATTGATTCCAAGTATTTTGAATTCTCATCACCCTTCTTTCTTCCACACTCATGAACTTATAAGATCCCAGCTTTACTCACCAAAGTAGGATGTAGAACATTGTCCTTGTGGACCTGTTATGCCAATTGACCTTGAAACTATGGACAAGACCTCTTGAAGTGTTCAAGATACCAGTTTCAGGATCAGGTGTGCCTGACCCAAGCCATAATATTTTCAATTGCCTCATTTGCATGTGAAAGTTGGACAATGAATAAGGAAGACTGAAGAAGAATTGATGCTTTTGAGTTGGGTTGGGGAGGAATATTGAAAGTACCATGGACTTCCAGAAGAACAAACAAATCTGTGTCAGAAGAAGTCCAGCAAGATTGCTTCTTAGAAGCCAGGGTGGTGAGACTTCATCGCTCATACTCTGGACACATTATCAGGAGGGACTAGTTCCTGGATAGGGACATCATAGTTGGTAAATTGGAGGGTCAGTGAAAAAGAGGAAATCCCCCAATGAGATGGATTGACACAGTAGCATCTTTGTATGCCTCACAATTTTTTTTTAAACCATACAACTTATATAGGACAGTAAAGACTAAAAAAGCACATTGTTTTATATACCTGGAAATGGACACACATTTACGCCTGCTAGGTCTTTAATATCTGTAGGGGGAGTTTGATTCTGATTAGTACTTGAGCTGGATTTAGGATGTTATTGTGCCATGGTTATCCTCCATGAACCACAAACTTCAAATGTTTGTAATGTTACATTTAGGGTTCAAGGTAATTTGCCTGAGAGTTAGCCTCAGTGTCTGCTCTGTCCTTTTCTTTAAGTCTTTCTTTTGTGTTGTGCCATGGAATGGGTCTCTTTTAAAGCTCTTACTCATCTCCAAGCAGTGGACTGCTGATAATATGTTATTCAATGCTTTTTAGTCTGCGTAAGAGATGAGAGGTCTCTGTTGTTCAGATTAAGCCTCAGTCTTAAACAGACTGTGGGCCCTTCTCAGCAATCCTGCTGTACTCCAATCTCAGCTGTGGGTCTGAGCCCAGGATGCATTCCTACTCCTCCTCCAGGGATGCAGGGTTTTGTTTTATCTGTTTGTTTTCTCCAGGGGCAGTGGACTCTCACCAGTGCTGTAAGGATGAGAGCATTTGTGCCTTTCCCCTAACAATGTAAAGTCTTTGCTCTATAGGAGAGAGAGGCACAAAGAATGGAGATAGTGCTCCATGCCTTTTACATGGCAACTGCTCCCTTCACCCCAGGCCCGCAGCACAACTGAACTTCCTCAGGGTTCTCAACTTGGCCAGTCTTTTTGTGTGCACTCACTGAGGGCTGTGGAGAAGAACTTGGAATAGATGCAGGTTTTCCCTTATCTGTACGCCCTCCTTCTCTATTTTCACTGGTAATCTTGGTGTATTAATAATTTTTTATTATTAAACACATTTTTATTATAGTAAAACACACATAACAAACTGTTCTAACTATTTTCAGTGAACAGTTATATTAATTATATTCACCGTGTTGTACAGCCACCACCTCTGTTCATTTATAAAATAGTTATAAGTAATTTGGTATACTGTTATTAAGTTATTATTAATTTAACAGTTTAGTAACTGTTAACCTTTAGTAATGTATTAAAAACTCTTCTTACTGACTTGTGCCATGTTCTGCAAGTTTAAGTGTTTGCTTCATCTCTATCCTTGGAGGTCCTTGTTTTAGATTGTGGGTTAGTTGATTATGCTTTAACCTCAACTTCCTGATGGGTTTAAGAAAAGTTGTATTTGCAGACGGTTTAGCATGCTTATGTGGTTACTGCTGCTGCTGCTGTTTTTGTTGTTTCAGGTTTATGTATCTCAATAGAAAGCTGAAAGACTAACTTTTTTTGTTGTTCCAGGTTTATGTATCTCAATAGAAAGCTGAAAGACTAACTTTTTTTTTTTTTTTTTTTTTTTAAACTGGAATAGCATCAGAGAGGGGTAAAGGGGGCAGGAGAGTAATTATAATTAGAATCACCAAGAAAAACTTATACAAACTTAAAAAAAACAAACAACTTTGCCCAAACTCTAATGCACTGTTTGAGTTCTGAGCACAGAAAACGAAGTTAAGTCAAGAATAGAAGAGTTTGTAGTATAATTTATGTTTTTCAGGCTGACTTTCAAGATTCTGTTTCCAAAAAGCCTGTCTAGTTCACAAAGGAGCTCATTTAATTGTGACTGGAGAGTCTTCCCTATTTAAATGTCTGGAATTAAAGTTTTTTTCTTGATTTTAATTCAAAGAAAAAACTACTTGATGAATCAACCTGTATCTTTCATTTCATATTTGCTTCAACACTATATTGAAAACTAACTTGACTCCATCTTTGGAGAAGCCTGGGAGCTTTTTTGTTACTTTGTTTTGTTTTAGTTTTTCTACTTTAACAGAACATTGGCCTGTTTTCCAAAAAGTAAATGACATGTGTTAAACATCTTCTGGTATCTAATATGGCTTGGCAACTGAGAGAGGCCATGCCATTGTTGCTAGAGAGGTTTTGTCGAATCTCACTGACATGTTTCTGGTTTCTAGGGAAGGAAAATATAACCACGCAGCTTGCTTTGGTCTCCAGCCTGGCTGTCTTCTCCCTGATGGGAGTCGAATGATGTCTGTGGCTGCCCTTGTGGTGAACTTCTCACAGCCAGTAGCAGGTCGTCCCTCTCTCCTCAGGCACGATGAGGTGAGGACTTACTTCCATGAGTTTGGTCATGTCATGCATCAGATATGCGCACAGGTGAGTGGTTTTGTTTTTATTTATTTATTTATTTATTTTCATGGTAAGCCTATAAATTTCCTCTTGGTTTTTCAGACATCTTTTTGAAACTTTTGTCAAGTTTCTCCACTCATATTGTTTTTTCAGAATCTGAACACGTTAAAGAGTTTCATAGACCTTCAGCAAAAACACAATTTTGCTCTAATCATGTCCTCTTTCACAACGTATTTTCACTCAGATGATAACCCACTGATGAAAAAGCTTTTTGAATACTGGTCTGTGGAAACAGAAAAAAAGACTACCACTTGGGAACAGTTACAAATACTATGTTTGTTTTTCTGTTCATTCTTTTCTTCTCCACAGGAACTTGGTGTAAACTTCCCAGATAACCAGAGATATAATCTGTCACTTCTGCTTTTTAATGCTTTGTTAGTTCAATTATTTTCAACTCTAAGCCCTTTACTGGAGTCCTAGTGTAGCGTTGTAAATGCGCTGGACCAAGATGTCAGTTTGAACCACAAAGTTGGCAATTCAAACCCATCAGCCACTCCTTGGAAACCCTATACAGAGTAGCTAAGATGAGACAAAAGGAGCTCTGGTAGCGTAGTGGTTACGAGTCGGGCTGCGAATCTCACGGTTAGCAGTTCGAAACTGCCAGCTGTTCCACGGGAGAAAGATGAGGCTTTCTGTTCCCGTAAAGATTTACAGCCTCGGAAACCCTGTACAGGGTTGCTATTAGTCGGAACTTACTCCACGGCACATAACAACAACAACAAGATGAGACAACAACAGCAAAATATTTATTGTATAAAACGGAGTAAAAGGACTTGCTGCTGCTATTGCTGTGTGCCGTCAAGTCGGTTCCAACTCAGTGAACCTGTATAGGGTTTCCGAGGGAGCAGAAAGCCTCATCTTTCTCCAGTGGGTCTGCTGAAGGATCCCAACCGCTGACCTTACTGTAAGCAGTACAATTGTAACCTACTACACTACCAGGAGTCCTGGTGTGGCGCTGTGGGTTAATATGCCAGACTGCAAAGCCGTTTGAACTGCAAGGTCAGCGGTTCAAGCTCACCAGCTGCTCGTCGACTCGACGGCACTTAACAACAACACTCTACCAGGACTCCGTAGTAAAACACTTTTTGTTGTTGTTAAGTTCTGTTAAGCCGTTTCCAACTCATGGTGACCCTGTATAAGCTTTACGAGGAGCATCTGGTGGGTTTGAACTGTCTACCGTGTGATTTGCAGTACAGTGCTGTTCCTACAGTGCCTCACCAAGAGTCCAAATATTTCGTAGCACCCCCATTATTAGTCTCTAATTAAAATAATAGTTAAAATTCCCTAGTCTAAGAACTTTCCAGGGAAACAGATGTGTTCAGTGAATTGCAGCTGGTCTCTGTTTCTGAAAATGAAACTTTATAATATAGTCCAGTGAATAGTCTCAAGCTATTTTAGATTGAGCCAAATAACTTGCAAATATTTAACCATTTTTGGTATGTGAAACCACCTCATTGAGAAGTTTAAACTAATAGTTCAACTATTATTACTGATATTAGTGACAGTTTTCCAAATTTGAAATCTCTCTGGTCTCTACGGGAATACGGTGACTCTGTAGGATAAACACTGGACTTTGAAGCACAGAATCATCAGTTTGAGCCCACCAGCCACTCTGCAGGAGAAAGATGAGGCTTTATGCTCCTGTAAAGATTAATAGCCACAGAAGCCCTATATAGATAAGGTCACTATATATCGAAACCAACTTGATGGCACTTAACACAGCAACGAGTCTCAAATGGTAAGCTTATAAAAAATAATTATTTTATTTTTAAATAGTTTTAGATTTATAAGAAAGTTGCAAATATAGTTTAGAGATTTTCTATATATTCCTCTTGTATGTCAGTACACTTGGCAACATTGTTGTTCTTAAGTGTCAGTGAGTCGGTACCAACTCATAGCGATCCTGTATAAGGTTTACAAGGAGCGGCTGGAGAGCTTGAACTGCTGACCTCGAGGTTCAAAATGACCTTGCAGTCTAGTGCATTAACCCACAGTGTCACACCAGGACTTTGGCACTAAGAAGCCGAAATTGGAATATTATTCCTAATTAAACCCCATACTTTCTTTTCGGATTTTACTAGTTTCTCCTTAATGTCCTTTATTCATTTTTTAAATATCAATATAGTGTCCTTCCCGAACAGAAGAGAAATAAATCTATGAGTGTGAGTCAGAAATTATCTGCAGTCCAGTTATATTAAAACACCCATCTGTGTCCATGACTGATGCACACGAAATGATTGTGTTAAATAGATGAGTGACCCTGGATTATATGGGAAATCATTTGCAAATCAGCCATGGCTCTGCCTAGGAAATAATTTATGACAGACTTGGGTTTCGAAAACTTTGTGTTAGATAGATACTAAAACAACTCACAGAAGAGCGTAAACAGAAGCATTTGGACATCTGCAAACAAAATTTGGACTGATATTTGAAAGAAGGTAAAGTTTCTTAAATCGTACTGGTTGGTGCTGCAACATGGATTCAACACTACAAGCCTAAAAGTAAACAACAGAGTGTGGAATGGTAACATCATCAATTGCCTACCAAGAAAAAGTTCAAAAGTCAACCATCAGCTAGAAAATTAATGCTTAAGTTCTCTGGGATCCTCAAGGGCCAGCATTGGAACACTATCAGGAAAAAGATTCAACAATCACCAGTACTCATTATAGTGAGATGCTCACTGACAAGCTGAAGCCTAAACCAGATTAAATGCAGAAGACCCCTGCTGTCCAAGGGCATTGTGACCTTGCATGACAATGCCCATCCACACACCTCTGCTCACACTGTTGATACTCTGCAAAAACTTCTGATTTGAAGTGTTAAAGCATTCTCCCTGTAGTCCTGATCTTGCTCCATCAGACTTTCACCTGTTTGGTCCCCTGAAAGCAGCCCTTCTGGGACGAAGATTAATTTATGATGAAGAAGTGAAGACAGTGGTACATTTGTGGCTCACAACTCAGCCTAATACAGGAATACAAAAGCTTGTTGACAGATGGACACAGCGTATTGAAAAGCGAGAAGATTGTGTTGGGAAATGATGTATTTGTCTTTCCTAAAAGTTGATTAAAGTAAATTTTACAGGCATAGTGCGAGTAGTTTTTGACTCACCCTCATATTACATTTTTCAAATAGTAATGGTTAGAAACAACTATGCAATAAGGCCTGGTGAAATATTCAGGAGTTTGCACTACATGTAAGCAACCCTGAATACAGCAATAACAACTATAGCCAAGCAGCCTGAACTGTCAATGCAAATCCAAGCATAGTATTAAATATTAAACATGGTGGCATACTTTTCCAAAATTGTGAATCTTCCATGTATAAGAACTGAATCTAACTTTGATTTATATGGTGGTAGTGGTGGTGGTGGTGGTGTGCCATGGAGTCGGTTCCAATTTATAGTGACCCTGTATAGGGTTTCTGAGGCTGTAGACCCCAGTAATTATAGTCTTGGAAATTAAAATTGTATAAAAAAGACTTGGGAGAAATATATACGGTGGAATTAGTTACTAGGTTCAATTATTAAAAGTTTTTTACATTTATATAAATGTTTAGTGGGACATATCAAAAACATGCAGAATATGGAATAATTTTGATTGTCATGACATGTGGGACAGTCCTGGGCATGGCTAGCCCCCAGTCATTGTAATAACAAAATTTTACCTACGTGTTCCAAAATATTACTACCATCTTTGTTGAAAAACTATTGTAATTCTCTTAGCATTTTATCTTTGTATCTTGTGCTTTCATCTTTTATTTAAAAGACAGTAGGTGTCTTCATTTCTTCATGCTGCCGTTACATGAATACTCTAAATTATTAAGTAATTAAGTACCACTGAGTTGGTTTCAACTTATAGTGACCCAGTATAGGGTTTCTGAGGAGTGACTGGTGAGTTTGAACCACCTACCTTGTGGTTTGGACACCTGGTGTGGTGCTGTGGATCAGCACTGGACTGTGAATCATAAGGTCAGCCGTACAAACACACCAGCATCTCCTCGGAAACCCTATACAGGGTCGCTATGAGTTGGAACCACCTCAATGGTACTTAAGAACTTAATAATTGAAAGTTTTCATGTAATGGCAGTAAACAAAACTAAACATGGCGCTAAACAACAACCTTGAGATTTAAATCGACCTTGAGTCCAGTACTTTCCTTTCTTCATGCTTCCATTATATAAATACCATAAATGAATGGAAATTTATTTTCTCCTAGTGTGTCATTGTTTAATGCCATGGAGTCTGTTCTGACTAATAGCAGCCCTACATGAATGACTTGTAAGGTTGGCGCAGGACCGAACAGTGTTTCTTTCTGTTGTGTATAGGGTCCCTATGAGTTGGTAGCAAGTTGATGACACCTAACAACAACAACAAGAGCAGCTAGTGGGTTTGAATCACTGACATTGAGGTTCAAATTGACTTTGCAGTCCAGTGCATTAACCCACAGCACCACACTAGGACTCCTCTCATAGTATAGGAGGCTAGAAAGAAGTCTAAATTCAGGGCGCTGGCCCTAGGGAAAGGCTCGCACTCTGATGGCTCTTGGGAAGCAGGTCCTGGTCTCTTTTCAGTTTCTCTTCCTTGGTTCCTTGATGATCTTCATGGGTAATTATCTTCCCCTGCATTTGTGCTGCATTCTCTGTGCCTTATCTGCTCTCTTTGTCAAAGGTGTTTAGGTTACACCCTACACGGAAATTGTTTGTCATTAGCATGACAAAGCAAGTACTATTCTCAATTTGGATTACATCCACCAAGTATAGGGATTTAGGATTTACAACACATATTGGGGGGAAGGAGGGCTTAATTCAATCCATATCAAAAAAGCAATATAGGGATCTGTCCAGATAAAGAAGACGTGATATAGACATATTTGTTGTTACTTTTTTGTTTTTAGGTGCCATTGAGTCAATTCATAGTGGCCCTGTATACAACAGAACAAAACACTGAGCATGCCTTGTCCTGAGCCATC